ACTGGATGCATCTCATGTGTGATGTGTTAAATGCAGAGAACTAATTTCATCATTGTATAGGAACATACAATGATGACATCACATAGTACTTACTATGCACATTATGGTTTTGGTCTGGAGTTTTCTGAAGCGTCCACGGCAGGTCAAGCAGACCGATAAAGGCAGAATGAGGGGAGTCCTTGAGAATGCTGCAAGCTCAGTGCAGACAATTTCCTCTGGATGTTTGCAATGAGTGTAAGTGAAGACCCTATTATGCGGTGAGCTGTCTTCACCACCCGCAGCAGTGCCTTGCAGCCGTGATTGTGCAGTCCATGCATACCATACAGTGACATTACTGGTCAGGATACTATCCCACAGGGGGGAACTTTCACCAGGACAGCTATGGAAAGCTGGCGTTTCTTCAGCGTCCTCAGGAAGAAGAGGTGTTGGTGAGACTTCTTGACAAGACTGGAGATATTGGCGGTCCAGGACAGGTCCTCTGAGATGTGGATCCCAAGAATTTAAAGCTTGAGACACTTTCAACAGCCATACTGTTAATGTGGATAGGGTCATACGTGCCTCCTCGCACCATCCTAAAGTCCACAGTGAGCTCCTTTGTTTTACGGGTGTTTAGGAGCAGATTGTTGCCAGTGCACCATGTGACCAAGTGCTGTACCTTCTCTCTGTAGGTTGTCTCATTGTTGTTGCTGATAAGGACAGTCACCGTGGTGTCGTCAGCAAACTTTATGATGGTACTGGATCCATGTACAAGCCTACAGTCATGGATGAAGAGGGAGTAGAGGAATGGGCTCAGCACACAGCCTTATGGTACACCTGTGTTCAGGGTGATGGTGCTGGAGTAGGTGTGGCCTGCTTTAACATGCTGAGGTGTGTTGGTTAGAAAGTCCATGATCAAGTGACAGAGGGATGTGTTACTGCCCAGATCTCTAAGTTTAAAGGCCAACGTGGCAGGATTTACTAAATTGAATGATTAGCTGAAATGAACAAACAGCATATGTTCATACAGTATGTGTTATTGTCCAGATGTGTTAGTACAGAGTGCAGCGCTGTGGAGACTGTGCTTCTATTAACGCAACAGACAAACTCATATGGATCCAGAGTGGGTGGTAGGCAATTCTTCAAGTGTGCCAGGACCAGTCACTCAGAACACTTCATAACAATGGGTGTGAGTGCTTCAGGGCGATAGTCGTTCAGGCACGTGGGGCTGGAGTGTTTTGGCACAGGTACAATGGAGGTGGTTTTAAAGCATTTTGGTACAGCTGCTAGGTCGAGACACAGATTGAAAATATTTGTAAAGGTTCCTTTAAGCTTCTCCGCACAATGTTATCGCTCACATTTCAGTTTATGGCCGAAGTAGCAGAAAACGCAACATCACTGTCAATGTCACATTACTGTTATTTGCATATAAAATTATATGGTTACAGTCTTTTTGAGAGCAAATAGTGGTGGCAGCAACAAGCAGGAGCTCTTCTGGTGCAACCTACAGCTTCTCTAAAAGGAGAATGGGAAAATAATTTCTGCCGGTAGCAATTCACTTTGGTCTTCGCCTCACTTGTAAAAGTCATGAGTAGGTACAAGACGATGCTCACATCACAGACAACCTGTGCATTCTTCTGGTGTATGTTCGCAGTGTGCATAGTGTGCTTAAGACTCCCTCAAATTATTGTGTTTGCCATCAACACCCAGGAGTATTTCCCTCTGGATTTTTGGTATGACCTATCCAGGAAGTTACTCTTTCACCACATTTTTGATTGGATGGATTCTGCCAGTTTTTTTAAGCAATTTATGGGTGATGAAAATGTCGCTCAAGTTTAACAAGCTTAAAAAGCATGTCCGGGACTCAATTAAAGGTAGAAAGCACTAAATATGTTTTGTCTAAATACTGACCTTCGTGACCATTTAATGTTGAGAACATGATTTTTGAGACCCCGAACATGATGACATGTCATGGCGCATACAAAACAGCTCAATTGTTTTCTCTTTGATCCTTAAATAATCCTCTTATTGTTTTCCATTCAGTTTGACTATCTAGGCCCATTAAATTTGAATAATAATTCTAGATCATATGGTTTAAATTTATTAATTAATTAATGATTGAATTAATAAATAAACTATAAACTATACATTTCCTACTCCTGAAATTTTAATCCAATTATCTCAATAATAAGGAAATAAGGATACTTTGTTTTTCGTTGCAGGTCGATCGCTGTTCTTTCCATTGGTTTTCAGTGTTAAACTAAAGGGGAAAGGTGGATAATTTACAAAAACATAGCTTCCTTATTTCCTCACCAATCCTGATAGTTTTGGTGAAAATCTATTAGTTTTTTCAAACTATCAATTACACGTGTAAAAAGAACAATTTGTGAATTTTGATATATATATATATATTTTGCCTCATACCTACTCATCAGTCTGGTTTAAATCAAACTTTATTTATCCAAACTGGGGTCATTCAAAGAACTATCTGCAATAAGTAAGATATGAATTCTTAGTAACCTCCCTACAGAACCTCACTTCCAATGATCCAGGGCTATTCAGCTAAATTTCTACGGGGGCCACAGTTACTGGAAGCCAAAAGCTCAGGGGCTGGACATCCAGCAGTTATTGTCATTAAGTAAGTTTTGTTTTATGGTTTAAAATCTAGTTTTATTTAAAAATGAACCCATTGGTGGTCCGAACTGATATAATCCGTGGGCCTGATTTGGCCCCCGGACCACAAGTTGAATAACCCTGATATAATCTATCAAGGTAAGTTCTTTTTTCTTTCTTTTATTTCTTTCTTCTCCATCTTCATGTTCAGTTTCAGTGTCTCAATTGATCTGTTTTCTGCTCTGTGCACACCTGGTTTAAATTTACTCATTACTCATGCCTTTAGTTACTTGTTACATACTTCTGTGTACATTTTGTCACAGGATCTTTTTCCTTTAAGTCCTTATCATTAAGGCTCTTAAAAGGTATTGTTGTGTTCTTTTCTATCAATCAAACTTGTTTTGCCATACTCAACGTATGAGAAGAACGGCATATATTCCACAGTAGTGAACGTCAAAAATACTTCAGTGTTGTTTTTTAAATATTTTCCCATACACTAGATTTTCTTTTGTTAGATGAAAAGCATCCAGAACAAACTTTTTGGGCCATTTTCTACACATGCAATGGAATATCCAGACCTCATTGTGAGCTGTTGACACTGGCGCTCGGCCCACAACGTCATCATGTCAGCAGCACTTTCTTGTGACTTCTCCAAATAAAATCTATTCTCGAAACAGTAGATTTGTCAGGTACTTTATCACAAATATATCAAATACATTTGGTCTTAGACCGGTATATTTTGGGGGCTTATGGTATGCTGACACTGGGGAGGAAGTTGCATACAACTTTATAAATGTAAGCCATGTAAAAAAAACATTCTGTTTTGAGGATCTAATAATTGTTTACCCACAGTAATTGAGTTCAGATTTGTTATAGAAAATAAACTCTTACACAGGATTACAGACACTCCAAACTTGGATATCAAAAGTGTAATGATTAAAATAGCCATTAAGAGATAATTAAAATCATTTAGAGATGGGTTCAGTGGAAATGTTATAAACAATTAATATCTTACCTGTTGTAGATCGAGCTTTTAACCTGAGTAGAGATTAGACTCAGGGCAAAGTAGATTACTGATTTCTTAAAACAAGTTAAATCGCAAAAGTTTTTCCATAATTTTATAAACCCTTACATCAATGTCAGTTTTGCATTACACAGTTTTTTTTTTAACCAGAATTCTATGATAATTTATAATGACAAATAGTGGCAGTAGCAGCCAGCTGTGGCTCTTCCTGTGCAGCCCGAGGACACTTTCCGCTTGAACGGCATTACAAAAATAAGAATGTGATGCAAAACTGACAGTAGTGTAAGAGTTTATAAAATATTGTTCACAGAAATTGCTTTGAAAATTTAAGAACATGTTTAAAGACGGCAACAATCCAATATGGTCCCGGCTCCGCTCTGACTAGCCAACAGCTCATCAAGCCCGTTAGATTTAAATTGTTTATTCAAATTGAGGCTGATCGAAGAGCAATCTAGAGCAGGTAAGATATTAATTGTACATAACCTTTCCACAACCATGTTTTAACCCTTGTGGTGTATTTTTGACCTTCTGCGGAATATATGCCGTTCTTCTTGTAATACAGAAGAGTAGATCTATTTTTACTGTTAAGAAAATAATAAAATGCAATTTTCTTTCAAGGTACAATGAAGTATATTGATTCAGTAGAGAGCTGTATTATAACAAAGATACGTTGTTGTTGTTGTTGTTTTCTCTCTTTTTATAAACACATTTCCTGTTTTGTGTTTAAAAACGTGTCTATGGTCGACTGATGCTTGGTTGCTTGTGGTGTAGTAGATTGACTTTTGGGAGAAGGGGTGGAGTATATAAAATACTTTTCTTCAAACTACTCCTTTTCATTCAGAGCATTTGTTTGTGTTAACATGTGACATATTCATTTTAAACTGTAAATAAATAAATAACCTAAAGGTGCAACATGTGACCACAGCTGGATCTCTGGATGTTACCTTAAACCAAAACCTGAACTAAAACATAATGCAAAGCTAAAAGATGTGGCTCAGTATCTACCTGGTCTATCTGAACACAAATTGAGAACTTAGTTCTTTTCATACAGTCAATAATATACATCTTCCCATTGCTGACTAAGTTTAGAACATCACACATATAGCTGGCTGGTTTCTTCTAAAGTTTTTCTCGTTTTGCTTTTTCACATCGACAAACATTAACTATTATAAATATTATCCAACGCACTTCATTCATCATGAGGTTTACGGCAGAGCCTGCAGGAGTTGGATGACAAACGTTCGGCAGCAGATTTTTACTTGTGGAGTTTTCTGTGTTTTTGATTCGTAGTGTTTGACCAGAAAAAAAGTCTTATTATATAGCTTTATTTTAAATGAATTTTCCATCAATTCCCGAATAAATGATCTTGTCTTTTTTCTGTCCTCAGTTGTTGTGCTCCACCGTGCAGAAGGCTCTGTTTGAGGAAGAAGAGAGGGTGAAGACTCTCTCCCAGAAAGTGCGTTCTTTGGAGAAGGCCAATGGCCACCTGAGGGAAAAGGTTAAGACCCTAAAACGTCTGCTACGCCAAGCCCAAAGGGAAACGACCAAGGAGCAGCAAACCCTCAGCTTTAAACAGCTCTATGAGTCAAAGACGCCTCAAACTCATCCTGACCAAGACACTGTCCAGGATCAGAAGAACCAGCAGCTTAAAAATGTCCAGACCAAGAAGATAAAAATCTAGATTTTCTGTTTTTTTATCAGTGACAATCTGAATATTTTCCATTTTGGATTCAGTGGAAGATATAAGAAGGGCGAATAAAACAGCAAAAACAATTAGGATCAATTAAAATAAACATATAAATACAAATATTTGTTCAATGTTAAAACAATTTTTTTATGAATTGTTCTTTTTTGTGCTGGTCACGTGGTGCTTTGTATAAAAATCAATGTCTTAACAGCTGACGTGTTAAATAATGCTCTAACTTTTGCCTTCTGAGGCTTTACATTGGTGCAGCCATCACATTTTAATCTGTTGGTGTTTACAAATTTATTAGAGCACAAATATTCCCATAATTTTGTGTTAAACTATATGGTTGTCCACATGAGAATGGTGTTTTTCTGACTATGCACAAGTATTTTATTGTTTCTATATTGAATCCACTAAAAAATGGTGTTTTAGAAACCCTGAAATGTTTTTAATGGGATTCACAGGAAAAGAAAAATGGGAAACTTTACCCTTTTTTGTTACAGTTTTACAGTAGACAGCCAAAATACAATTTTATAAAAGCGATGATGTCATAGTCCCACCTCTAATCTAACCTTGTTTCCTGTTTTTTTTTTGTGTATTTTAATGGTAGCCTAACAGCGCCTCACACAGGTCTGGCATAGTTACTACAACATTTTGGATCATTTTCTGTGTTTCCGTGTGAATTAAGCCATTTCTAGAAACAGTGCTATGTTTACAAGGATATTTTTAGAAACAAAATAAAAACATTGTTTTGGAGAAACTGATTCTGTGGGAACAAGACCTCAGTTTGGTCACTGGATTAATTTGGGATGATCAAAAATCTGGTATGTGCAAGACGGTGAGTTTGACCGTATGTGATATAAGCTGAAAACACAGTAAATAATTTGTATTTTCATCTTTACTGAAGCTTCAAGGGTGTCACATCACTATAGGACGCTTAAGCAGCTCAGTTGTGTCACTTTTTAATCAAAATAAATATTCCAGATTATAAATGTCAGGATTCATCTGAACGTATGGAAGGTCTAACAGTAGTAAACCAACTCTGAGTTGGTGAGGTGTAAACTTGGACCTTCTCAAATTGGGCAACTGCAGATCAAATTTAATGTTTTTTATATTTGTTGAGACATAACTGTATTTTCTTAAATCATTTTTAGAGGTTTAGATATTTTCATGCTTTGTTTTGCAAATTTTAGAAATGCAACATTATTGCAGTTCCACATTTTCCAGCTGTTTTCTTGGCCTTCTAAAGGTTATTAGCAGATATTTATTTAATTGCTCATTCATTTTATTTTATTTTTTCTCTTTTTTAAAGTGACAGAATTTGACAGCTTTGGCTTTCTGTACTTGTCATTGCATCACTTTATTTGTCTTTATATAAAGTGTTATTTTTGGGGGGTGAAAAGCTTTTTTTTAACTTCTCACTTGTTTATATGACAATCAATGCGTCTTTCCTTATTTGAGTCTGCGGTGCTGAGCACCAAACTTCAGCCAATGTAGCTGAGATGATGTTTTGTTGTATCTGTGGCAGTAATGAACTTTGCTTTTCTTATAAACTCTTCATGTCCTTGTGGTATTATCCTGCCTTTTTAAACAATTAATGTTTTGTTTTGCCAATTACACAATCGGTTTTGTAATAATTACTCATTCCATCCATTTTCTTTTGTCTGTTTAACCGTTTTGAGCCGTGGGGAACTGGTCTCAGCAGCCACCTTGTGAAAAGCGAGGGACAACCTGGAAGTCCATCACAGGGACACACGGAGACAGAGGAGACAAACAACCATGCACGGTGACTATTTAGTGTTACCAGTTAACCTAATGTGCACGTGTTTGTGTTGTGGGAGGAAACCAGATACACGAAGTAAACTCCACACAGAACAGATTGGAGGCGAACCTGTGGACTTTTAGCTGAGACGCAACAGCTCTAACCACTGCTCCATCGTGTCATCTGTAATTACTCACTTTTATTAAAAATATATATATTTTCAGAACTTTTGTTCATCATTCTTGATGATTTTTGCAGTTGGGTTGGTGGCGTTTCAAACACCTTTTTATTTTAGGATAGTATAAAACCATCATTGGGCAAAACAAATATCCATATTGTTCAGATTTGTTTCCCTCATCACTTCCAGTGCAGCAAAACAGTTGTAATCCATAAAGTATAAGGTTTATAATCTGAATCTGAAAGGTTTATGTTTTTAGGACTGCATGGCCGTGTCTTACAGACCGGACCAGACTTGTCCAATCTAAAAGTAATAAAAGGTTTTATGTGACAATGTGAATCAGATGTGGTTTTCTGACTTTACGTCCTGACTCGGTAGAAACAGATATACTATATAAGGCTAATGTTTGAAGATAAATGTATCTAATAAAAGCATCTGGCCAAACACAAGTAACCACAGTCAGCGCTGAGATGGAGAAAGTTGTTGAGTTAAAGTTTCGAACCTCGGTTGCAGCATTGCCCTTTAGCTGACCTTGTTCTGTTGAGCTGTAGGATTGTATTTTCACGTGCAAATCATTTTGACAAATGAAAGGTTCAACATGCATTCCAGCAGAACTTGACCCAAATCCCTCCCTCCTGGTTTTGCTGTGTAAAACAGAAAGAATGACACAAAAATAAAATAAAAGCACGTTTTTATCTCATGAACGACCCTGTAAAGTTCTGCAACAAATCAGGTGATGAATAAGGAGAAAATCTGCTTTTTCTTCTTTTTAAACTTGATTCAGGCTTTTGAGTTTTAAAAAATCTTGCAGAATACAGCTCAACGCTCCTTGTCTTTTTTTGTGTGTGTGTGTGTGTGGGGGGGGGGGGGGGGTCCCCCATGAAATGTTTGCATCAGACAACCTCGTCTGCAGCCGACAGTCAGGATCCTAGTGGGCCCGGGCCAAAGATGATATACACATACGGCTCTCTCAACACAAACCGCCGTGCACGGTCAAGCTGCAAAACAGATGTTGAACAATGTGGCTCCATGGAGGTGGTCTCAACGAGGAGGCTCTTTAAACTCTCCTTCTCTTGACGTGATTTGTTTCTTTGGTCTCGTTTTCTGTGGTTCTCTAGCTGCACTCAGCTCTTTCTATAAATAATCCCAGGGCGTCAGGTTGGTTAAAATATTATGCATGATGTGAGAAGCACCACTGTCCTTTAAATAATAAAAACACTTCATTTGCATGCTTTTATTGAGATTAAGAAAACTATATATTTGTATTAAAGTGCAACATTGAAAATATCAAATTTACCTCACATACATATACTGTATTAGCTTAAAGAAAAGTCCCGTCATACAGGATTATTTCTGAAGGTTTTATGGGCTCTCCAGTTGGTTGTTACATGACTGACTGAAAGATCAAAGTGACTTAAAATATATATATATTCTTCTTTTGTCGTAAATAAGTGTTTTATCCTTAAATGTGCATCACAAATTCTATTCATGTAAATGTTTCTGCAAGCTTCATTAATAATAAATTGATAGGATTTTTTTTAAAAAGTGGCAACTATGACGTATTGTTGACTGAAAACAGGCAGCCACACGGATGTGCATTTATTCTACACATTGATTGGAAAGAACAACTGCAGATCAAAATAATTCACATTTATAACAAAGTCCATGCTCAATAATCCAGGTATAAAATCCAACATTTTTCAGTCAGGTCATCTGATGAGTTTCTTTTTTTTTTTTGTGCTGAATCGTTTCGCCTTCGATCCAGAAGGCTTCATCAAAGGAAACACACAACAAAACTGATTCTTCCCCCAACAGCTTACTCCAAAGTGGAACAAACCAGTTCTGCTTGTGATAAGATGGTCTCTTTGGTATGCCCCCTCCTCCATTGCCGGCCCTCTTCCTTGTTGACAGTCTTAAACTGGTTGAAAACAACAAAGTCCATGACTAGTCTTGGGCTTGCAACAGAGAAGGCCCTGTCACCTCTGCGCTTAAGACAGGTTCCTGGAACCGTGAGAAGTAACTGGTCCGCTGACCTCAGAGAACGTGGTGGGACATATGGCTGCAGCAGATCAGTGAGACAGGACAGGGCAGCGCTGTTCAGTGATTTATTGACATACAAGAGTATTTTGAACTGGATTCGAAGGTGAACCGGTAGCCAGTGCAGGGAAGTCAAAACTGGTGTAATGTGCTCTCTTTTGCCTGTACTGGTTAAAAATGGGGCTGCTGCATTCTGGACCAGTTGTAGTTTAGCAATGGAGGTCTGACCGATACCAAACAGGAGCGAGTTGCAGTAATCGATAGTAGTAGTAATAGAGGCATGAAACCCATGACTGATCTCACCACTCAGCCACAGCAGGGGCTGATTTGTGAAAACGACAACCAAGTTAATTAATAATTTAAACAACAACAAACTTGCATCTCTTTTATACGGGGTGCTCGCAGTGATTGTGTCATAATTAGCCTGTCACCCATTTCCACAGATTCATCGTTTATTTAGAGTCAGCCAGGCCTCTGGGCTCTCTGTCCTGACAGCCTTGGATGGAAGAGTTTTCTTCACGATCCTTATTCTGTTGATTCTAAACTGTTCCACTGTTCAAATCTAAGATCTCAGCGCAATGATTTCAGCCTCGACTTTACTGTAAGCTCACTTTGTTCCATAAATTCAGCACGAGTTCCTTGGCGAGCAACAAAAAGAGCGAGCATGACTCCAAACCATGGGTTTTGTTACAGTCTGTGCTCCAAACAACATTTCCCGGTCCATTTATGACACTTGGAAACGTTCACACTGCAGAATTCAGGTTCCACCGTACATATGTTTCGCTCTGGGAAGTCATTTATCTGCAAACAAAAAGCTATCTTTGTTTCTGGAAACTGCTTTAAGGGGTCTGAGACATTTTGCTCTTTTTTAACCTTTCTTTGTCTCCATGTGAGTGAAAGCTGATTGTTTCACACACTAATAATTTGTTGTATTTTTAGCTCCTTTCTATAGCCTTTTTTAGGCCCACACAGCAAGCAGGAGGGGTTTAACCTCTCATGTTTGTTATTAAAGCCGACAATCTGTTTCTAAATCCAATGGTTATATTTTGGTTATGTTGCCACATTTTCCAGCCAGTACGTTCA